TGGGATAATGTAGGGTTTTGTTCGGGGACGGAGAACGCTGATACCTAAAACACTAGATGACCGAAACCCTAAAGAATGACAGACAGAGAAAGGAGGAGAGTTCCACTACAGGAGACAGTTCCTGGACACATGTTCAGTACCAGGCAGGAGCTTGAAAAGCGTCACTTCCCCAAACACCAAACGATGCGTGTTTAGCTTGATATGTAGGCTATTTTCTACTGTCACCATCACCATCATCGCCGACAGCAACACCAGATGACAACCCTGATGCAGTGTCAACTTACTGGATAAAGGCTTATCATAATCTCTTTCATAACCGCCTACCAGGTCAGAAGTTGACCACCATTATGCATGCACCAACACGAATTAGGTGACGGAGACAGTACTCCCTTCGGTAACCGATGCATTGCCATGAGAATGCATAGCCTAACGAACGCATCTTTTGCTGCAGGACACATTCTTCAATGGAGGTCTCCGTACTACAACTAATACAAATTCCAAGACAAGCAGAAGGCCCTACAACTTCAAATGCCCGACCCTGGATTGTAAGCGGGGTGCCCAGTAATCGTATTTCCAGAAGCATGATCTTAGACTTTGTGGCTGCAAAGTGCATGCCGGAGGAGGGAACGACTCCTGCCAGTTCATCCAAAAACACATTAAGATTCTACTTCAGATCCAGCAAAAAATAGAGCAGCATCGGATGGTCACGCTCATTGTTCTTCGAAATTTTCGGCCCAGGGGTCAAGACCTCCTTGTTTATTGAAACGGATGTGTCAAGTTCGTCCTCAGTAGTTTGGCTTACAGGGGGTTTCCGGTGACGGGGCGCACGGATCAGATGAAATAATCTTAGGTCATTCCAAGCTTTCTCGGTCTCTTCCATCTCCTTAGCCCTCGTGTCCACCAAGCTTCATGGTCAGCGCGCACGCTCATTTTATTTGATGTCTGATAACTCGTCGGGCAAACCATTTTTGGGGCCGGCGGCAGAAAGTTTGTTAGAATTACGCAGTTCACTATTTTGTTCGATATCCAGTACCCCGGTGGAATGGTGTCATACCCTGAGCACTGTATAAAGATGTGGTAACACAACGTCATCATGAATTTACATCTGATAAAGCAGACTCCAAACGGTTCTAGTAAATTCATCTTACTTCCAGATCTATCAGTCACTCAGTCGCTGAGTTATCTGTCCGCACCCTTTGCGACACAGGTAAGCGAAAGATGGAAGCGACTCCAGAGGAATCCACATGTGTTCCACAACAAGTGACAGTCAGTTATTTTACCGCGTCATCAGCAACGATGACGATTTGATCGGTTTGGCACCCTAGCACGCTGTTGGAGGACACCATGCAACCAGATGAGTTTGGTTATTTTGAAAAGGATAACAGTATAAAAACAGCCTGCAATCAGCACATAGCTGAAGTATTCTATCAATGACCCCAAATCTAATTTGGATTCAGTCGAACTTCTGAAATTGGCGACAAAGGACGCTGCTAAATTGCTGTTTCTTACGAAGGCTCAACAGAACTTCTCTCTTGAGTCCACCAAATGCAATGATGTGATGCAAGGATGTCATCTGTCGCCATTTCTCCTTAACTTTGTAATCGACGTTCGTCTTCAGCTGTCTCTAACACATCGAGATGACTCAGTGGTTGTAGCGCGAATTCACCGGCCAAAAGATGAGTGGTTCGAGCCCCTCTGATTCTCGATTTCCCCTGTCTAGGCTCGAACAACCTAGCAGTATCTTGTGTTTCCTTCGGGTGACATGGCAGCTAAGCACCGAACGGGTGTCACAGTTGAATGATCCTTTGTATCATTACTTAAGTACTCTTGACATCCGAATCGAGTAAACAACCAACCAGAGCAGTAGTTAAGTCAGAGAAAACCGGTGCAATCCGGTCCAGTTTAATTCCTACACCCCACTACTACTGAATACTAATGAATGAAGAAAAACAACCTTGGGTGGCGAAATACCCACCTGAAACATGTTAGACCAATAAATTTCTCCTCGGATCATACCAGAATCTACTGTTTAAGTTAGTGAATTGCTAATCGGTATATCAAGGTCAACCGTGAAGGACCACAGTATACTACGGTCCTATCTATGAAGCCGCTGATGGCGGTGAAACATGAACGCATATACCCCTATGAAGAGAAAAGTAGGCTGTGAAGGATGAGGGAGAGCCCTGTCCAAAAGAACCATCCTACTGCTAGGAGATCGAGTTTGAGCTAACGAGCTCGATATAGCTCACTGGTTAAGGCGCCAGCTTACAGACCGTAAGGTTTGTGGTTTGAACACAAGCTTAGTGTCATGATTTTTGTGTGCTTATTCTTATACTTACCATATATACTCGTACTGAACTTTTGTATGTACATTTCAGCTCATGTGCGCTTGTTCTTAGACAAGTAAAACGTTGCTTATCCTCGAAAACCTGGACCCTGTTCTAACTCGTTCTCGGACACTTTCTAAACGTCTCAATTTACTTGTCTAAGAACACAATGGACCCGCAACTACGACCTCGGTTCTTCGACGCTGACCCAAACTCCGCAGATGCAGCAAAACGCTGGAATCACTGGTTTCGTACCTTCGAAACCTATCTGAAAACCGTCGAATCTTCTAAACCCGACAAACTTGAAACTCTCATCCACTTTGTGGATCCATTAGTATACGATCACATTGCTGATCACACCGACTATGAATCTGCAATCGCCACGTTACGGAAATTATATGTCCGTCCAAAAAATGTCATATATGCACGCTACCTGCTACAGACCTACAAACAGGAGAGTGGACAAGATATCGATCAGTTCGTACAAAAACTGAAATCATTAGCCAAAGACTGTGAGTTTAAATCTGTGTCTGCAACTGAATATCAAGATGAGTGCGTGCGTGATGCTATAATTAATGGCCTGGCGTCCACATCCATCCGCGAGAAGCTTCTAGCACAAAGCGAACTCACTCTGGACCAAACATATCAGCTGGCTAGATCCCTCGAATTGGCTCACAAACAGTCACAGTCATATGTTAGTAACGAACCCATATCTTGCTCTACGATTCCACCCATTTCACAGAATCCCGAACTGCGTGTTGATCCCACCACTGCTGCTGTAAAATCCATTCAGACATGTTATTTCTGCGGTTATGATGCACATCCTCGTCCAAAGTGCCCCGCTCGCGAAGCCGTCTGCAATCTTTGTGGTAAACGCGGTCACTTCCGCCGCGTGTGCCGTTCAAAAAATACCTCCAAGTTCCACACAAGTTGTACAACAAAGCCTACTTTATCGTCATTATTCGTTGCAGCAGCTCCTACCTGCCTGGCGCATGCCATCGCAACTATCGAAGTCAATGGCATCACTCTCCGTGCTCTGGTCGACACAGGGAGTTCTTGCAGTTTCATTAACGCTAAGGTCGTGAAACTGCATAATTGGAAAATTTATCCAACTTTCTCAGTCGTCACAATGGCGTCTACATCCCTATCTTGTCGAACGACTGGTTACGCTTGTGTTTCTGTCCGATACAGAGATACCTCATACAGTGAACTGAAGCTCTTTGTAATGCCAAACCTCTGCACCGACGTTTTACTCGGGCATGACTTTCTAGGTCTACATGGCAAGGTAGAAATTTCATTCGGCGGGGATCGTGATGCGCTCACCATCTGCGGCCTGACGGCTGTAAACGTTGAATCACCATCACTTTTCGCCAACTTGTCTCCAGATTGCAAGTCTGTTGCAACCAAATCAAGAAGGCATCATCCGGATGATGAAAAATTCATTCGCGCCGAAGTTGACCGCTTATTGCAAAAAGGCATCATCAAACCGTCAACGTCTCCCTGGAGAGCGCAGGTTTTGAT